GCCCCGGCCCAGCTGTACAGGGCTTGCCCCCCCCTCACCGCTGTTGGGAGGAGGGGGAGATTGAGGTCCCAGCAGTGACGGAGGGAGTGGGGCTAGGGCTGGGGCCTCGATCTGGCCCGCCCCACCCATGGGCCTTTCCCCTCCTCTCTCCCCTCCCCACAGACTTACCTGCGAGGTGTGGGGGGAGGAGGGAGAGTAGATCTTCGGTTTCTTTTAAATTCCAAAAGTGATTTCTGACCTAAAAAGGTTGGAGATCACTGAACTAACTCATAGTAAATGCGATAACACAACTCAGTGTTAAGACTTGCTAATTTATGAAAACCAGCTTAAACCAGAGGTCCAGAGGACTGTTGTTAGAACCGGATGCATTTCATTTTGAAGTAATTTTGGGAAAGCTGTTAAATTTAATGTTTTAATATTGCAGCTGAAAAAATATATATACTTCTCTTAGCCTGTATTGTTCCAGGCAACAAACATTTACTTTCTTTTTAATGTCAAGATGTTCATGACAAATGACATAATTAATGAGAAAATTTAATTTGTTTGGAATGAGCCACTGGATTATGGAGCCACTATGGAGCCACTCAGGCTTCTTTTCTGGTGAAGCCTTAGCACTGTAAACTGAAGAAAAAAATTGTTTCCAGAAGTTGATGAAACACCCTGTATTGCTATATCAAACCTAATCTTGAGGTGGGAATGATGGGAAGAATTAGTTTCTGTGGGAGAAAGAAAGAAAATCCACTTACTTTCCTTTCCTTTTTCATGTCCTTGTGACAAAATATTTAGCAGAATTCATAGATTCATTGGAATCTGACAGGATCACACCATGAGCGCTTCTACAACACACAAGCATATCAGGAGGCAAATTAAATTAATTTAATTGAAAGACACGCTGATCTAACATTTTTATAATCCTCAGCAGGGATAAATCAGCATAACTCTACTGAAGTTGGTGGTCCCAGATGAATGCCTACAACTCCTCTAGACATACAAAACACTAGAATTCTTGGTTCCAAACTGATACCTTTTATTAGACCAACTGGGAAATTGCAAGAAAAATTGTCCTTTTCTACAGGCTTTCGGGATCAAAGTCCCTTTGTCAGGCTTTGGGAAAAATATAGATGGTACAAGATGGTACCATCTATGCAACTGCTCTATGCATTCTTGTCCTATTATCCCAGATCTGCCATCAGAGGTGAGAGTAGAGATTTTAGTAGATTGCAGTAGCTGTTTTATCATTGTTTACACTTCCAGGGCAAAATTTGTCTTGTGTTAGTTGGACAGCATTATTTAGTCCAGTGGTTCTCCCTCTTTTTAGACTCAAGGCACCCCTTTTGTGAAATGAGGAGCACCCAATATTAGAAACTAAATTATTACAGTGCTCACCTCCTTGTAGAGGAGCCAAGCAGTGGAGATGGGGAAAGGACTGGACAGGAACAAGCCTGAGCCTGTGCTAATCTACTTATCTCCTCATACCTCACAGCACTCTTCAGAGGATCTCATGCCACACCAGGGTGCCCTGACACCCTGCTTGAGAATCACTAATCTAGTCATAAACTTGGTTTCATCAGCCACAAGTTATTGGGGGAATATATGTATAAAACAGGGAAAAATCTACCTATGCCTGGTGCCCTGCAAACAAACCTTAGATGAATGTGGCAGAGCAGCTTTGGGTTCCTACCACCTTGAGGGCTGGAGCAGGCTGCAGACCAGCCTGCAGGTGGGAGCAGACCCAATCAGGCAGTCGCATGGTAGTCAGGAGGCTGCCTGATTGGTGGAGGGTTGGGCATCCTGGGTATAAGACCAGGCCCTGAGAGTAGAGCCAGCAGTTGCTGCAGGGATGCCGCTGAAGTAACATCACCCAGCTGGAGATCTGCAGCTCCCAGAACACCTGGAGTTCAGGGCAGGAACTATGGAAATGGAGGCGGTTCCTGGTCCTGGGTAAGACCTGAAACTACACCGTACTAAGGTTGGATGGTGTGGTGGGTCTGCCTGTGGTGGGGCAGTCTCCAGGAAATGCCACACCTATGCCTCCCCAGTAAAAGGTGAGGATGGGGCTCCTGATAGTCTCAGCCCTTACCACTTGGTGGGTAACCCTGCAGAGGGGACAGATTAGGGTCCAAGCACTTTGACAGACACCTGAGGTCTGAGTGGGCCATAGGCCAAGTTAGGGTTTCAGACATGCTGACAGACACTTGAGGCCCAAGGGGTGTAAGGCCCAGAAGCCCCAGTGAGGGGGCAAAGTGGTGGCCCCAGTGATAGGCTGGAGTGAAAGCTGGAGACAGCATAGAGTAGGCCCTATGGGTGCCTGAAGGACTGCACATAAGCCAGCTGGAGTAGTGGCCCCAGTGAGGGGGGCAGAAAGTAGAGGTGCACCAATACATCGATCCCGTATGGGATCGGCACCAATATGAGGAAAATTGACAGTATCAGCAATTGGCTTTTTCTGCCTGACGTGGCTGATAATGTCACCGATAAATGGCCCATGCATGCATGCAGCCATAGCTGCAGCACAGCACACAGGCAGCCAGGAGCATAGCCTGGCAGTGTCCAGCTGGTAAATGTGTTGTGGGGGAAGTGGCAGAGGGAGGGAAGGGGAATGCGAGGGCGGGGGGCACAGATCAAGGCCCCAGCAGTGAGGGAGGG